ATATATATATTATTTTTAAGTATATTGATTATAAATCGTTATTTCATTTATAAGAGTTATGAAATGAGTTTTATATAATAAAACAATTATATTTATTTGATACTTTTTAATTTTCAATCTATTTTAATGTCTTTATACATATTGATTTATAAGTATATAAGAGACCCTTAAATTGATTCAATTTATTTAAAAATTAAATAATCATAACAATTATTTGTTATTGAATTCAAAATGAAAAAATTAAAATTTGGTTTTAAAATGAAACTTATCTATTTATCTTAAAAGAATCTATACTACTTTTGATTGTTTAAGATTAAAGAAAAAAAATTAATTCAATTATTATTTTTCAAATCATACATTTATAAAATTATGAAAATCCCTAAATCTATCAATAAGTACTGCATTATGTTAAATAGGAATGCGATAATAATTAAATTTTTCATTTATATCAAATATACACATTATCTGAAATGAAATCTAAAAAAGGACATAACATATATCTTCAGAATTGTCTTAATCCATGTAAAATTAATTTTCAAAAAATAACTATTTTTTGAGAAATATTTATTGAAATTCTTTTTTTTTAGTAAAATAATATCCTTTGAATTACATGATTAAATGATTTAAAGAATTAAAATGTTAGTATCATGTTATTTATTAATAACAATATGATTGATTAATTTAAATCGCAAAACTTCTTAATTGAAAATAAAATATCCTTATATTTTATTAATTTTTATACTTTAACTAGGTACTATTTCTAAGGATTGTTAGAGAGTTTTAGATTTTTTTTCTTAAAAGTTTAATAACTGAAAAACATGTTAAGGGTCGAAGACATTCGCTTTAATTTAATATTCAAAGATTTAAATTTTAATTGAAAATTAAATAAAAATTTATAAGTACTCAATGCTCAAAAGTTGTGTGATTTTAGTCCTTTTTGCAATAAGTTTGAATTATTGTCAAAGAAACTTCAGATATTGTTAGAGAAATAATAAAATAAAAGCATTAACGAGAGGCTATTATAAAAATGTCATCAGTTATGACGCAAGTCCTCTTTTAACTAGTCGAAAATAAAATTAGTTTGCAGGTGTTGGAAATGAGATGGGGATTCTCTTTAGAAATGAAATATATTAAGCATCATCAAATTAACGAGGGACATATATCAGTTTAGGCTAGTCAATAATTATAGAATTACTTTAGGTTTATGAATTAAATACATTAAAAATTGTGTTGAGGAATGGAAATATCAGAACATATGATTTTATAGTTTATGCATCAGATTCTAACGAAGAAATAATAATATTTGATTCAATAACTAACTATATTGAAGTTGTCACAATCAAATTTCGAAATTAACTTGTCAAATATTTTCGAATTTATAATCGAGGTGGAAATTCTGAAGCTCCTTTTACACATATAATAAAGGTTGAAGCCTGTTTTAAGTTTTGAGAAATAATATGTATTCACATATTTTTTTATGATAATTAATTCTTGGTATTAAAAATATTTTTTAATTTCTCTCAACTGATTTATTACCTAATAAAATATGAAATCTTTAAAGAAGTAAAAGATTATATTTATATGTTACGATTTTCAATTTGTTGTGAATTTAATACTCAATAGAAATAAACCAAAAATGAAGTTTATGATAGATTTAATAAATTCTATAATTATTTTCAAATTGAAGATGAATTTTAAAGTATAAGTAAAATTTATCACTAACTTTTACAAAAATGATGAGTTTAAACTACTTAGAGTTTTTGAAAATATGACTCCAATCTTTTTTGCCTATAATAAAATTATTAACTAATAATGTATAATTAATTCCAAATGGAATTAAAATATGATTTCAATGCTAAAAAAGAATTATTGATAATATATTCATTAATATCAAAATTCTGCTAAATTCCTAAAGACCTTCTTATCGCTTGGGTTGAATTGATAGAAGATAGAGGATTATCAATAAATTTCAGTCTCTTTTTGTAATACTAGGAATTTTTAGTTTTAGAGTTTATGCAAAGTCTCATTGCGAAGAAATTTAAATATTTACATGAGACATAAGCTTGTATTTTAAAGATTAATTAATATAAAAATCTTATTATCAAATTAGATTCTCAAATTTCATTCGTCTAGATATGATGAAATAACTTCTTTCTTCTATTTT